GTTATCGTTACCTAGGTTTTATTAATAGTTACACTGTTCATTCTTATTCTACCAATCTGATCTAATAAATCTTCCGATAAATATTTACTCAGTTGTGATTGGCTATTACCTGATCACGTGTGTGTCCATTCTATCGATTATCGAATTTTGCTAAATGAATATTTAATCCTGTGAAACTTGAAAAGGAGACATCGATTTGTCATCGAAAATATGGTAATTTGTTTTTTTAATAATAACAACATTACATAACTACAATAAAAACTATTGTTAAATTTCATCAACTAAACCCCAGTCTTGTACAAGATGTTAAACTGTTATTATATAACAGTTGTCTGGTTCTTTTTTCATAACATCTGGCCATGTCAGGGCCAACCAGAGACCATAATATATGGGATAATTTATGTTTTAAAACGTATTAAGGTTAATTAAGAGGTTTTGGGACATGGAAATTTATACAGGTAACCGGTATTGTTTTAATCAATTGTCATTGACACGGACGTTCGGTGTTATTTTTACTATCCGATCATCTTTACACCACCCCTGCGGTAAATGTACTTTGTACCAGTTCTGTGGCAAACATTCGTTCTCTAACTTTATGATAAACTTACATACATTGTATTATGTAAACCGGAGTGTGAGCAAATCTTAAAATAAACACGACTGTTTTTGTCGAACAGTTACCGCAGATTTTTAAATCTTGGTTGGGTCACATAGAACATCCCATCTCTATCACCCATAAATCCAGGCCTTTGGAATTGACTAAGAGAAAAATCATTTGAGTAAAAACGCCTGTGCGTTTCTAGCTGCCTGCAGGTCGTTAGAATCTGTATCCGTTTGTGTCCTCTCAGATGTTGCATGTATTCACGGAGTTTCGTAAATTATACTATTTGTACTTGGCCAATATACAAACCAGTTAAACATGTAACACATGCAATGATCTTTGAATTTTAAATTTGTTATTTTTTATTTACTCAATGAAGTGAAGAAATAAGGCGAAAAGACGATGCACAAACACAAGTCTTTTTAGATCTTTTCACATCAAAGGATGCGGTCTTCCTTGATCTTCGAGCAAAATATCACTAAACCCGAGCACGCGAGGCAATGAAAGCCTGGCGCATGGCGCAATGTTAAAGAGAAATTCCTTTTATCAACACCACAGAATAAATGATTGTTTTACAAGTAAATCAAGATAGTGTTATAAAGTCTTCACAACTACGATCATCAATGAAACCATTACATCCATGGCTCCAGCCTTACCAGTTTGCTGCGCAATTTTCTTTTTACAAGAAATGTTCATGTTTGTAAGGGCGACACAACATACAGAAAATATAACACGTCAGGTGTCTTTTTACGTTCATTTTGAAAATATTTAATAGGGACTTGTCAACATTGGACCGTTTCTGTGTTTCTAAACTTTCGTTGTTGTCTTGGACGAAGTCGCCACTGTTCGGACCGACATCATCAAACACACTTTGTTAACTGCTTTCCATATCTTCATATTGTGGTTAAAAAATTTATGGATTTTAATATCACCAATAAAACATGTTGGATTATTTAATGTGTGTTTCCGTGGGTTTTACAGTGTGTACATTCTCTCAAGAAGTGCTAGTAAATCTAAAGGAAATAAAGATTGGAAATATTACTGTGCTAACTGGAACTAGGAAATATGATATTAATTATTTCTCATAACTGGGAGCATTCGTTTATTATAAACGATCACGTCTGTGTCCATATATCGTTGAACAGCCGGTGTGCAGTTCACTAATGTTGATCGCTGACAACTCGGACTAAAACGTATTTGGACGCCGAGGCTCATAATCTACAGTAAGTATAGCATACAATATTACCCCAATCCGTCTTGAAACTGAATATCCCTTCAGTACTAAACATGAAAGACAGTTTACTCAAAGTGATTAGCCGGACCAGATAGTGTCTGAGAGAGGGGCCCCTGACACGCCCTTCTATGTGTCATTTGGTCCTGTAGAGCGCACCCGGAGTTATAAATCTTCCTGTACGATTTGTACCATGTATATAGGAGATAGGGTTATCATTCAACTATTACACCTTCAAGTAATTCCTTAATAAAAAAAAGATATTTTTATGACCTGGCATTTTAAAGTTGGTTTTAATGATACGCAAAAAATGGAAATAATTGACAAGTGGTTTTGTCCTGGTTATATAGATAATCTTAAAAAATGGGTAGATATTTGTCACAGATACTGAAATGTTAGAATGGATACATGACTTACGTGGCAGTAGTTTTATCTGTTGATCTAGACGAGGCCAGGCCGAGAAAACACATTAACAGGGTAACCGACTAATTAATAGACAAGGGTAAAAAGATAGAGGTGATCATGATAAACCGCCTAGTCATCCGTACTTCTCAATGAATTATTGTCAAAAGACATCCCCGGTCTTAATGAATTACTGTACACGTTACGGCTTATGTCACTGGCCGGGTAGATTTGTTTAAGTTTTAACAACAATTTTAACTTATTTTGGTGGGTTACTGAATCTATCAAAATATACACGGGTTATTGACTCTAAAACAATATAGACAGGTTATTGACTCTAAAACAATATAGACAGGTTATTGACTCTAAAACAATATAGACGGGTTATTGACTCTAATGCAATATAAACGGTTTTTTTTATTTTAACAAAATATGGAAGTTTGACTCGGACAAATTATAGAAATTTGACTCTATCAAAACAAAGATGGGTTATTGATTCTAACAAAATATACATGGGTTATTGACTTTAACAAAATATAGACGGGTTATTGACTTAAACAAAATATAGACGGGTTATTGACTTTAACAAAATAGAGACGGGTTATTGACTTTAACAAAATATGGATGGGTTATTGACTTTAACAAAATATGGACGGGTTATTGACTTTAACAAAATATGGACGGGTTATTGACTTTAACAAAATATGGACGGGTTATTGACTTTAACAACATATGGACGGGTTATTGACTTTAATAAAATATGGACGGGTTATTGAATTTTTAAGATCAATGAATCAGTAAGTTGTTTATATTTTAACACAAATTGTTCACATGCTAATTTCATTTCACTTCTACCATGGAATTTTTGATGTCGTTGCGTATTGTGTAGTTATTTGAATTGTATCATTTGAAACTTGTTTCTTTGTTGACGGTAGTAAAAGGGAGCCAATTCACCTTAAATGTAATTAATTCAATTCACTTGTCTATTTTTCTAATTCGAATGAAAATATTCGTTTGCTTATGTATCATTTGTATGCTGTGTAAATTGTAGTTTTAAAAACCCTTTATACGCAATAATGATTTATGAAATGTACAGCTTTGTAAAATTCACTTTTTCAACTAATACGACAAGATCTGATTGTTTGAAATATTAAAGAAATTTCATTTTAACAAGTTTTGATAAGATTTGTTATGACAAAGAAAACATCACTTTATTTAATGTTGTTTCTGTCTGAATGCATGTGTTTAAACCTTCACTGCAATCTCGGTTCCCTTTCAATTTAAATTAAATTAAAATAACTGCATCAATGCCCGATTTAATTCAAGGACCTGTGTCCTATCTGACTCCTTAAGGGCAGACCTTATATCAAAACCCTTTCGCCCGGGTATGTAGGGTTGTTATCTACCGTAGTGCTAACTCGCCATTGATGGGTCCGGGTTATGCAGTACAACTGCCCCTTGGGTTTCAGCTTTAACTCTCAGTTAGTTTAATTTGTACTATTTTTATCAACACGTGACTTAGTACATAAACGATATATCATCTGGGATGCAGATGCTGGACTCGCTCTGTTAGTGATGACTGTGTGTTAAACTTAGATTTACCCTGTTATGAAGGGAATTAAATTCGGTTTCTTTTCAAGACAAAAAATACAAAACTAACAATTAAATGGGATTTGACTTTCATTTTTTGAGAATATTTTGAATTTCATTATCTCATGTATATTTCTATATATATATATTAATGTATAAATTTTCATGTTTTTATATGTTAATTTATTAATGAGAGTGTTATTATACCTGCTGATGCAATATATTGTAATAAAACTGTTTTACGCATATCATTTCATGGATGTACCTCAGTTTAGCTATGAATAAAAAGATGTAGAATATATATATTATCATTGTCACAGCTACCCCTGCCATTTTCAGTAACAGTTCGTTCTGTACTAGTAACCTAAATATTCCACTTTTTTTAAATTAAAGATATCACTTTAACCGTCGTTAATAAATTTTAGCAAACCGTCCTCATGCACGCCTTATCTTGTTGGTCTGATATGGAAATTAATAAATTCGATTTTGTCTGGAGGTCCTTGATAAGGATAAGAATCGTATTTCGTCAATTACTTTCCTCTCTACATGTGTGCGTAGGAAAGCGGCATTTTTTGTGAGCTACAATCAATTGATATATATTTGTTTTCTTTTAAACGTAGCGACAGAATCTGTCCAGCATTTTTACTGGTTGGGTATGGAAGATCGGTGCGTTGTATCTACTGGTATATATAGCTACCTATTGATTAGATAATCGATAATCGGCTATTGAATCTTACTCATTGGTCAATTTAACGGATTTATCTGATTAACATAATTAATACGAAAATTATCACTTCATCATTGGTAAATTTTGAATACAAAATGCAATTAAAATAATGATATATAGGTATTTTTCGGTATCATGGAGGAAATCACAGTAAATAGTTATATTAAAATGTATTTAATCATATGAGCCTATTATGTTGTAATAATGTATTGTTATCTTAAGTTTAATTTATGGTAAGGTAGTGTGTCGGTATGGTACCTAGTGTTGTCAGAATATTTCACAGTGCAATAACAAATATTATAATTTAGATATTAGTGAACATACATTGAATCTACGTATGTGTATGATAACACAAATATTACAAAATTTTATACAATATTTATACAATATAATATCATATTATACAAATTTTATCGTAATGTTATCAAATTAATTATTATCTTACTTACCACCACTTCGTGCCTTTCAGTTTCGTTTTCTTGCCTTGCCCAAAATGAAAAGCTGCTGTTAAAACTAAAAGAGATAAGAAAAGGTCTCGCATTTTATATCCCTGGTGTCCTCTTGCCAAGATGATGGTCAGTTTTGGCCTTACATATCGCTCTGTGGTCAACTCCGTTTGCGAGTCCGTCACGCGCAATGCTGACGTAATTGTCAGGTCATTGTTTTTTTGAGTTATGTAAATATTCCAGTGTTTACCGCTTCTGTTATTAGGAGCCTCAGGTGTTATAATAACAGGTGTTAATTCCTTGTCCAGCTTTAATCACTTCCGGTCAATCTTTCCGATTACCTGTGACGATTACATAAATACCTGACAAATATGAAACAATAAGGATGTCGGGGTATCTGTTGACGTAATTAACAAGCTGATAAGTCCCGGGGGGCCGGGCTAACACCACAGTAGTGTGTACTGACCCTACAGCGCTGAGATCTCGTCCTCCTCACACTTCGTTATCACTCACCCTCCAGTGTAAAATCGCACTATTTCACTGACAATTATCCAGCACTCTGCCCGACTGGTCGGATATTCAATAAAAAAATCAAAACTCTTTCATTTAAATTGCCAAATCATTACACTTAATGTAGAGACTGCTGTGGTGGGTTCTTTCCTCGGTTTTCGTCATAATATGAGAACATAACCCTGTTATACATTTGCTTGATAAAATCATATCTGTTTCTTTTTGAACTTAACAAAACACACACGTTTGGGTACACCACTATTCCACTGCCGTCAACCCCACGTGTTGTAACCGACAACTTTCACCGCGTGTTCTCTATATAAACACTTTCAACACCAATATTGTAGTGAATTTTTTCGGTAAACCACAACTATCGCATTTTTTTCTTTCCAAACTGATGCTGATGACATCATGGAAATTTATATACAACTTTGATAATGTTTAGCGACTGTCTAAACTCGCCATCGGGACGGTTCGAGCCGGGCCGTCACAGATACTTTAGGGCCGCCTTCCACCGAATGACTGACAGCCCACGGGGTTCGTCCGAGCAGTTATCGAATCAGGCGACCTCGGGAAAATCACCTTCCGCTACACATAGTCTGTCCACTTAGCTACCCAGGAAAGGCAATTCGCTTCAATCTCATATATAGTGACTGAAGAGCATTTCCGTAGAAAAGTATAGCTTTATATTTGTATATAATTGCTGTATGGTTGGCTGACTGTACCGGGGGTCGTCTGTATAAGCTTGCTAACGATAAGTTTTGATGAAAGTGTCTACACTGTACACAGCTTAACACTACCTTTAAGATCAATTAACTACTTTAATGTAGATCGAGGCATTCCGGGACATTCCAACCCGATCTGGACAAAAACACTCTGGAAAAAGAACGGAAAGTAGTGGTGATGTACACGCGTACCCGGTCCTTGTATCTCCCTGTCATCGATGTTGTGGTCAGGTGCTCTGGCATTGGTCCAAGATAGTGACCATATCGCTGTCATTATACAGTCGTCAAATTAAACCATTAAATTCATTTTTATGCCTTTGAATTCACGAATTATGGCCCCAAAACTATCACTTTCCGAAATTCTGATATACCTCCATCGACGAGCTAGACAACTTGGACGTGAGTGTAATTTGCGAAGACTGTCTAATTTGTTCCACAACCAAGGGAAGTCACATCAAAAAATCTGGACAATGAAACCACCTAATAGGTGCAAACTGCCCCACCATAAATCCACTGGACAATGGTCGAAAGGCTTGTCGATGACCGCTGGATTTAATTTCCAGACACCAACTCGGATTGAGCCATAAAGTTGGGTACATTATAATATCACTACATTCCCGGAGTCTCGAGGCTACCTAGATGTAGATTCCTCAAAAATACCTCAGAATTATCATATTTTCTACAATAAGGCTATTCGTAAACTAATGTATGAGATGCATATAATGTAAAGACATATATATATATATATAAACGAATGTGTGATTTTCTTAAAATGTTGTCAATTGATCGCCAACAGAGCGTTGAATTCATCACCATAACTTAGTACACAAGCGTGTTTCTTCCTCTCTTATCGAGGAGATATAGAAATAACTAAATATAGAACATCTTCTAATATGTGATATCTGACATTGTTTGGCAACGTAGAAATATATTCAATGTTAAAATAATTCCATTTTTATTTATGAAAAATAGATAAAAAAAACACCACCATCAGATATCTGGCATGGTTTTATAGATTGAATCTAAACACACTTATCTCAACACACCATGTAACATTATACATATTAATAGTTTAGTTTTCATTCATTTGAAATAGAAAATGCATTATTTTTCAAACATACTTACTATTTTTTTCAAACATGGTGTTCTATTTTATGACTATGAAATGTGAAGTCATTGTGATGCTAAGATATAGTTGAAGGAAACACGCTGTATACAACATCAGCGGGGTAGAACTTTTCCCGAGATTTCCACCGGGTAATTGCAGCATTTTTGTCTGATTGTATAATAAATAAATTTAATTAACATATATTTCTTACTCAAGTTGATAGCCTTGGTTTACTCTCGTACAAAATTGTCCAGTTTTCGAGAAAGTTGGACTCCTAATTCAAATTAGGACACACAATGATGACACAATAGTTTTGTACTGTATCCAGATCTTGGTGTAGTTTTCCAAACGAATTGTTGTTTTCCCCATGGAAAATTTCCTGTAAAAACACTCAACCGAATAAAAACCGTGCTTTTCAGTTGTAGTGTAAAAACGGTTTCAGCGTTATTTAAATTTCCATTCCAATAGAAAGTAGAGACGCTTCGATATTCCTAAGGTTTGTTTGAATTCAAATTTTCCTTTGGTCAATCCAATCCATTATAATTGCATTCTAACTACCTATTCGGTCTTCTGTCCTCGAACTTCTCGTGTCGTGACACTTTCTTCCTCTCTCCGATTGAAACAGATATGTCTTTAGTACCAGAATTGCTGTAATTTGTACTTAGTACCCTAAGCTTTCAGCGTATCCCAGTAAGTAGCGCCACAAACAGTACATACCACTATAGACAGATCCAATGTCATATCCGTGACCCGTGGACAGGCCTCACAATTATTCCCTGCCAAAATATATCTTTAACCTGTCCTTAACGATATCCCTTACCTTAAATCTCACACAATTCAAATCAATACAAAACAAAAAACTAGTTGAAACAGAAACTCTGATATTATTAGCAATACAACAAGTGTAATAGAACGCATGTTTTATGTCACAGGTAAACAATGCGTTAAAAAGAAAATTTTACATTTCTTTGTGTATTGTAGCGAAAATTTATTTTCTAAAATATGCATATCAGATTTAGAATTAGGAAAAAAATAATTAATCTTGTTTATGCTTAATTAAATTTCAGTCAGTTCTACACAATACATAATACAGTCGTGCTTGTTTCCATTTTAATTGATTTTTAATTTTTCTATTTCAGTTGTTTGATAAGTCAAGTATTTCAATTCTGTCTGTCAATCGTTTAGTTTGGGTTGACGGGCGTGAGTTCCGCTGTCGGGGCGCTATCAATCTCCCCTTAATATGATACCAACCTTTCACCCTGTCTCATTGTCTGAAATAATACCAAGACTAGTTAGCTTATCATGGCATAATTTTTTCTTGAGTTTTCTGTAAGAAATATCTAATTATTTATCTGATCAAGGATATCCTTTTCAAATTATTTCGAATTTTGAAAACATTTTTGTTGGGAAATGTAGGCGAAAATATACTGATATTTATTATTAAATATGTAATCTTTTATCTACAATTTTTTTATGAAGTAAGAAAATACGTAATTAAGGCATAGATTAATAAAGTGCTAATGACGGGAAAAGTATGTATATATAATTATATAATTATTGATGACTGAGAAAAAGTGCACACAATTTAATTGTCGTGTTTGTTACCTTGAAGATTCAGCAATTAATTTACAAAGTACCTAATTATGATACGGAACTCTTTATGACAATGAGAATTGAATTATGGACGTTTTTGTTAGGCTATAAAAAAGGTTTTAACTGTCCTGTAGATCAAAAAATGAAAATCTCCATGATTTCCCGAACTGTTATTCAACATTGTCTAACTCATCACAAAAGTAGTTAAGCTTGTCGTATGTTGATTTCCAAACTTGTCTGCCGTTGATTGTAGGTTGACTTATCTGATCACGGGAGATAACCCCTTGATAGGTCATCACGTGACACTTGACAAAAATTAAAAACACCAGCCTAGGACATGCTCTAGGGCCAGACTTCGTAGTGAGTATCCGAATAACGGTAGCCCGTATTTCTGAGTGTTAAAATAGAATCTCGTAAATCCGGACTACATTAATAACGTATTAAAAGACCTATTTATCCGAATATTCCCCGAAATCTCGTTCTGACTTGACACTCATTTATCCGGACTAAAGTTTCCGGTTTTACACCAGCTTTTATTTCCTGGAGGAAGCTTCTCTGGTCTATGTCAATTTGGACTAAAATCTAATGTAAGTTTTTCCGCCTTAAAATAAACTTTATGAAAATGTCAGAAACCTGCTTAAAAACACAAACATGACGTCATGACAAACCATGATGAAAAGGTCAATGTTTCATCTCTACATTATGACAATACAAATCATAATATATAGCCAAGTGCAATGAGAAAACATAAAAATAAAAACTAAATGCAAATACCAATTTGTTTACTGGCCATTGATACTAATCTCAAATGACTCTTCGGGTTTATTTCAAGCCGGCAATTTGATGACATCATCTTTAGTTTGACGTCATTATACACATTCGACGAATAAACAAAGTATGACAATCGTATGACGTCAATGATCGATTTTTTTCTGTATCATGGCAGTGGTATTACGTCATTATTAATGTTTGGTCGCAATATGATGTTTGCCTGCAACTGTGTTATTTATATCAGCTATAAATGCCATAACTATATTAGTCAATGTCTGTACTTATGTTGTGTTATAACTTGACAGAGTAACCCGTTAAGATGGAACAGTCGGTCTGACGATGAGACCTCGATATGTGTACTCACAATAATGTAATCAGAAGAGGCACG